TGAAATGTTACAATCTGCTTAATTGTCAAGTAGTTAATATTGCGCCCGAGAAGTGACAATGAAACTACCTTCTTTTTAAGCTATTCAAAAAACTAATAATATATAAAATTTTATAATTAAATCCATAGTTATAAAAAAAATTATATTTCTTGCTTCTGTCTGCTTATTTGCATAACGAAAACCAAACTTATATGGCCCCTAAACCACACAAAAGCCTTGCGCAACCCGAGACTTGTACAAGTCAATATTGTGGAAATTACTACAGCATAAAATTGCGCAAACCTTATTTTGAAGAAACGTTGCTCAAGTAAATATGTGCAAGAAATATGAATGTGTGTTGTATATTTTGGTAGCTTCAGCTTTAAAACGTAAAAAATAAAATAAATTAAAAAAAAAATATATTTTTTTCCAAAATCAAAACTAAACTAAAAATTTCGAAGTTGTCGCCAAACGCAACCCAAATTCTTGTACAATCATCCCTATTCTGGTTGTCGTAAGTCGTTCGCTGAATTATGTCGTAAATAAAAACATTAACGGCAGATTTTAACACGTTTTCAATACTTCTTCATTTCGAAGGGATAATAGGTATAAAAATTTGTATTTGAATAGCACAAGCATGAGCAAAATATCAAAATAATTTTTATTTTAGCGCAATAACTGTGCAATTTAGTACAAATGACCCCATACGCCGCACAAACGACCGACGCAAGCGCAAGTGGTTTAGGGGCCTATAACAGCGGCGTGAGCAAAGAAATTTCGGGTTTTGTTTCCCTTATAAGAGTTACCAAATCAAACTTATAAATATCTATATATAAATTGTGAGACTTTAAATAACGAGAAAAAAATATTTACCTTTAGACTAGTAATACTATTCATAGTTTTCAAACATTCATTTCTGCCAGTTGAAATATCGAAATACGGCATTTGGGAACAAAAAAGTATCAGAAAAGTATACAATTGTATCAAAACGGCAACGTTGATCGTGATGGAAACCGAAGTTAGTTAACATCTTGTCGTCATAGCGACGATGGAATTAACAGCGTCAGCCGAGTGAAAATACTGCTAAAGTAACGAGGCAGCGCCGCTTGTGATACCCTTGCTTGCCTCACCGCTCTTGCCATAAATTCAAATTCGTTCGATAGTCGACATGCGTCTTCTGTATACTGTTTATTCTGTGATCTTAGCTTAGCGAACATACACACAAACATGCATTGTAACTTAGTTTAGCGAACATACATACAAACATGTAGTACATGATATGCATGCTTAAGTTAATATTGAACTGCGTTGACTTTACCCTTTCTCATTACCAACAACATGTATTGACAACAAGTGCAAATAGCGTTACACTTGTTTATCTTTTTTGAAGTTTATTATTTTAAAGTTAATTACAAATAACGTAACTTTGGATTAGCGTTTTTCACTTGCACATGGAAATTGTATATAAGGGTGAAGTTTGGAAATAATAAATCAGACTATTGCTGACCACCAACCTGCTGGCTTCCAACTTACTCAGCCCATTTATTTTGGCTGTTTTCACTTGGCTAGTTTACACGATCGTTGAAAACGCTCTGCGATCCAACAGGATGCGTCTTATAATATAACTGAAAAACCCGTGCTATTGCCCGCAGTTCTCGAGAGAAATCAGAAAATCTTTCCAAAAGGTAAGGCGGCTGTGTGGCGATTGTATGAACGCGTACGGCTTTTTGTTCTAAATCAGTTTCCATGGACCTCTCATCCATCTTTTTTTGGTCATTCCGATGGTTGTTCTTTCAACCACTTTGGGCCCTGCCACCATAGTGTGCTCTTTACCAGTTCTTGGGGTGATACGCTACAGAGATCTGCTGGGTTGTCATTCGAGTCCACATGATTCCATCCTCTCACACCAACCAGTTCATCGATTTTGGCGATCCTATTCGCCACGAAAGTGGTCCAACAACAAGGCGGCTACCTTAGCCACGAGAGCACGATGGTGGAATCGGTCCATTTCTACATCACTGGCTGGGCTACGTCAAACTGCGGAAGCAAAGCTTTTTATTAGTTCTGCCAAAAGTAGTGCCCCGTACAAGTCTATTCACGTTAGAGAGGCGGTTTTTACTGGGGCTACGTTTGTTTTACATACAAGTAAATTTACATTCGGGTTCTTATTTGAATTCCGTTCGCGAACTCTAACATACAACGCTGCCGCATACGCCTTCTCTCCATGAAACTCAATTTCATTCCAAGGTTTGAAATTTATACACCTTGGAATTTTAATCTCTGAAATATGGATATAATAAATTCATCATATCATCCCAATCTATCTTGGTTAGCCTTATGTCTTGCATAAGAATTTTTGCCTCTACCACAATGGGGTCAACCTCCCTGCAGGGTCAAATAATTTTGCAACACACGATAACACCTCCTGTTTTGTGTAGCTTGGCTTTACTGGGATCTCTTTTACGTTAAAATGAAACATGTCGTGAGCAGCATGCCATCGAATTCATAATATTCTCGCCTCGCTCACGTCGTCAATTTCCTTTAGCAGGTGAGGCTTGGGCAAAGCTGACAAGACTTCCTTTGAGTTCGACGTCCACTTCCGGAGGGGAATCCAGCTCCCTTCAGCACGTCTATGAGTTCATCGCGTGTTCGAATGGCTGTCTCGCTATAATGAGCCCCAGCAAGTACGTCCTCAACGTACATGTGCTGCTTTAAGACCCTGGAAGCTAGAGAAAACTGAAAGCTAACGTCTTTTGCTAATTGAAAAAGAGTTCTGATTGCCAGATACGGTGCACAGTTGACTCCACATGTCACAGTTTGCAACTCATAATCCACAAGCGCCTCATTTTGTGATTCTCTGAAAAGAATTCTGTGGTATCGGGTGTTATCTGAATGCAACTTAATCTGCCTATGCATCTTTTCTATGTCCGCGTTGAAAACGTATTTGAAAAATCGCCATTTCAAAAGCAAGTCGACGAGATCGGCCTGCATAACCGGGCCTGGGTAGAGCACATCATTTAAACTTGCTCCATTCGCAGATGGACTTGATGCGTTGAAAACCACTCGAACCTTAGTAGTGCTGCTGTCCGGTTTGATGACTGCATGATGGGGCAAGAAGTATGTCCCTGATGAAGCGTCACTCACGGTGCTGTCCACTGGTTTCATGTGACCGAGTGCAATGTATTCTCGTAATACACGATTATATTCTTCCTTCAGCTCCGGTATCCTCAGCATCGCTGCTTCATTGCGGACAAATTAATGCGCAGCACTCGTCCACGAATACCCAAGACTTACATCTGCTGGGAACTCCTGTCGAAACGGTAATGCTACTACATAATGCCCTTGGTCGTTTCTTATCGTTCTCTTTGCGAAGTGTTGCTCACAAAACGCTTTTTCAGGAGTAACCTGGTTTTTGTTCGGAACTTGCTCAAGTTCCCTGAAACGAGTTAGCTGAGAGCTGGAATTTTCAACAAAAAAGGACAAACATGAGGCATTTGTCCTAGTCTGAAAAATAGGACCTGTCAATATCCAAAATCTGCTTGGTCTACTGAAATCTGGGGGAGGTTTCCTGTCAGTTGGGGTAGAATCAGGCCTCTTGCCTCAATTCTAAACTGGGGGTCGGCAGGTGAACCTAAAACAAACTGTGAGAGTTCTCGCACCTTAGCCGATATTGTCGCATTTATTCCACATATATTTGTGTCAACAGATCGCGTCGGGAGATTGATGAGTCTTTGCAGCCGCTCTGTCATGAAAGTCCCTTTGAACCCGATTCAAAAAAAAGTTCTAGCTTCATAGTCCACGCCTAAGGGCCGAATGTGCACCATAGCCATACCCAAAATTATGTTTTTGGCACTAGCAGCAAACAGCGCATGCAGGCTGCGTAAATTGGGTATGATGGGCCGATATTGTTATTCCAAAGGACACCAGTGGTGCTCGACTTAGGCACTCGTGTGCTTTGAATGTCCGAAACCATCTCTAAGGTCTGATACCTTTCGAGTAGGTAGTTATCCAAATCCTCTCACCTCGGAATTTCAGCTTTGTTAACGATTTCCTGCTCCCAAAAAGCTAAAGTGTTGTCTGGCAATCTACTTGAAAGTATAAACACAAATATTGCATCCCATTTCTCGATATCAATTCCATACATTTGCAGGACTGCGACACAATTATTCGCTGCAAATTTTTAATATCCGTACCACGCTCGACTGTTACCGTAGGCAAGTTAAACAATGTCTTCAACTGACTATTGACCATAACTCTTTTATTTTCGTAACGAATACTCAAGTTTTGCCACGCAATCGCAAAACCATCATTGGTCAACGGGGCTAACCCACGGGTCTTTTGATTGAAGTGGTACAACTTTAAACCGGATTTAATCGCGAATTATTTACGTAAATGGCCGTGAATAAATCCTTAACGCATGGCCACGCCATATAATCACCATAAAATATCTCCGTATCGCATGGAGGAAGGTTACGGCTTGGCCGCGGTGTTGGCTCAGGATCACGGTTTATGGGGTTAAACTTTGAGGAACTTGGCTGAAAAAAGATCAACACCCGTATTGTCTTCGGACCAACCCCGCGAATAAGCATCGAATGAATCTTTGACTTTTGCCCATAGTGCCTGTAATGTCTGAGTGAATCTCTTGCACTCAAACTTACTAAATGCACTCATTCGCTCACTGCAGATTATTATGTATGCACATTGTATAAATATTACGATAGCTTAAGTATACATAACTTGAGTCTTGGCAATAATGTAGGAGTCGGGTAGCGAACATCAACAAGCGAACATTGTACTCTAATTATATATATTTAATAAAGTTGTTGCTGAATACTAAATTGGCGCTGTCGGTAGGATACCGTAACATTCATTAGTATATAGCAACCGTTCGCCAAAACAAAATCGCTTAACATTATTGTTGTTCCTGTGCAACCTAAAACGTGAATATTGCGAGAAGTCAAAGCTAAAGGGCAAGCCAAGGTCACCTTCAGCCATCATACGTTTGACTTCATCACACATCGATGCCAGAAGATCAACAGCCAACAGCGCAATTAACACCGCAGCACCCGCAGTTTGAGGAAAACGTTTCTCGCCATATGATGTCGACACTTGGGAATCTGGAACCGTTCAACGTGGAACACTCAGAAAATTGGTCTACGTATTATGCGAGGCTCGAGCTCTACTTACTGGCCAATGACGTACAGGGCGACGATCGGCAAAGGGCCGTATTACTCACCTTAGCCGGAGCGCCATTATTTGATCTCCTGTCGTCATTGGCCTCGCCCCGTCAGGTGAGTCAACTAAGCATAAATGAAATCAAAATGATTTTAACAAATCATTTTTCTCCCCTTCCCTAGGAAATCGCGGCTTATTACAAATTCCACAAACGGGACCAACAATCTAATGAGGGATTTTCCGAGTACGTCGCAGCCTTGCGCAAATTGGCTGTTGATTGCAACTTTGGCACGGCGTTGGATCGCATGCTAAGAGATCGCTTGGTATATGGTTTGCGTGATAAGGCATTGCAGCGCAACCTACTAGCAGAGCCGGACTTGAAGCTGCAGAAGGTTCTCGATAGAGCTGCTACTGCCGAAGCAGCATTTACGCACGCATCTGAAATGCGACACTCCGAACAGGTTCATCATGTAGCGTCCAACAACATAATCGTTTGAAAACGCGTGCTAGTTCCAACGCACAAACAAAGCCATGCAATGGATGTGGGGGCTCACATGCCCGCTGTCAGTGTCCGCATCGAGAAACAATTTGCTCGTCGTGTGGCACAAAAGGTCACCTTCAACGTGTTTGTCGCTCATCAGCATCTAACTCAGCCAATCAACAAAAGGCATCGCATTCTTCAGGACGGTTAAAAAAGCAGAAACCACAATCCATAAATCAAATTTTGCCTCTGGTTGATTTGAAAAAATCAGCGAACATCAGTATTAATGGCTATACTTGCACATTCGAAATCGATTCGGGTTCAAACTATACCATAATGTCATCAACAACATTTGAACATGTGTGGCCAGTACAGAAGCCAATAATGCACACCAGTGACCTTGAACTTGTCGATTTTCAACGTAATAAAATTCCTATAATGGGTGTGGTTGATACAGATGTATCATACGGCGGCCGTGAGGTCAGTTGTTTGCCCGTCGTTGTCGTAGACGGAAACCGTTCAAACGTATTAGGGTGCAATTGGTTCGCCCCACTGGGCATCACAATTCAGGGCGTTAATGCAGTTGAAGAAGCATCGTCAATCAAAGACATCCTAAAGCAATTTAATCATCTTTTCCCGCAGGAAGGTGGGGTGTTTCAAATGGAAGCCAGTGTCCCTCTACATCGACAAGTCAGTTCAACCTATTCGATATCCACCTCGGCGTATTCCATTAGCCACCAAAGGCCTTGTCGAAGCTGAACTAGACGAATTTGCGGCGACTATAAGTCGACGCTTAACAAAGCACTAAAGCCGCACAACTTCCAGATACCAGCTATCAACACTTTACTTTCGTCTATAGAGGGAGGCAGCATTTTTGCCAAAATAGATCTTGCACAAGCCTATCGGCAATTGCAAGTGGACGAACAATCATCCTTGTTGCAGACTACCGTCACTCACAAAGGCGCCTTCAGAGTTACCAGGCTCCAATTTGGAATCTCTTCAGCGCCAGGGATATTTCAAAATTTTACAGAAACACTATTAAGAAATATTCCGGGGGTGCTGCCGTATATTGACGACATCGTTCTAATGGGCAAAACAGAGGCTGAGCTCGCTGCTCGGCTGCATGAGGTATTTAGCCGATTCAACATCGCTGGTATTCGGCTAATAAAGGATAAGTGTTCCTTCGGAGTCTCAAGCATCGAGTTCCTGGGATTCAAGCTGGACTCACTGGGCATTCGGCCATCTCAGAATAAAGTCAAGGCCATTCAAAATGCTCCAGCACCCCAAGACAAAGAGCAATTGCAAGCGTTCTTGGGCCTCCCCAATTTCTACCACTCTTTTTTATCGAACAAAGCTACAATTGCCGAGCCCTTAGATCGCCTACTGGATAAGAATTCCCATTGGTTCTGGGAAGAGGAACAACAACAGGCGTTCGAAAATCTTAAGCAGCTCATTGTATCCGAACGCGTTCTGGTACACAATAGCTCAAAATTGCCGTTGGTGGTAGTTTGTGATGCGTCGCCATATGGCATCGGCGCTGTTCTCAGCCACCGCATGCCTGAGGGGTGTGAGAGGCCCATTGCATTTTACTCTAGGACCTTATCGAAGCCAGAGCGGAATTACGCCCAAATAGACCGCGAAGCTGTAGCGTTAATCGCTGGAGTGAAAAAAATTCACGACTACCTCTATGGGCGCAAATTTACGCTGGTTACCGATCATCGGCCCCTATTGGGTATCTTCAATACGACCAAGCCCGTTCCTAATGTGATATCATCGCAAATGCTTCGACGGCGAATTTTCCTTAATGCATACGATTTTGAAATTGCATACCGTTCGGGAAATAAGTTGGGAAACGCTGACTTTTTGAGTCGATTGCCCTTAATGGATGAGCAACGAAGGATTAAGGAAGATGTACTGATGATAGAAATGGTCAAGAACCCTGTAGTAGACGCCAAACATATCGCTGTTCAAACTTCCAAAAATGCGGACCTGGCAAAAGTTCTCAGCTGGGCGTTAAGGGGGTGGCCACCTAACATGAGCCGATCGGACAAGCTGTATCCCTTTTATGTTCACCGACAAGAAATCTCATCTGTAAAAGAATGCTTACTATGGGGGAACAGAACAATCATCCCGCCAGAAAGTCGACAGGTAGTCGTCAGTGCGTTACATACTGGCCATCCGGGCATTGTGCGAATGAAGGCCTTAGCGAGAAGCTATGTCTGGTGGCCGAAAATGGAATCGGAGATTGAGGATATTGTAAAGATGTGTGCGCCTTGCCAAGCTACTCGTCACGAGAGTGCTCATGCGCCAGTTCATTGGTGGGAAACAACGAAAAATCCATAGTCACGCCTTCATGTTGATTTTGCTGGCCCGTTTCAAGCTAAGATTTTTAATCGTTATAGATTCGTTCTCGAAGTGGCTTGAAGTTTTTTTGGTCAAGTCAACCTCATCGCAATCGGCTATCAAACCCCTTCGATCACTCTTCGCAACTCATGGGCTGCCGAATGAGATAGTGTCAGACAACGGGACAGCATTTACATCCGATGAATTTAAAACATTCATGCAGGACAACTTAATTCGTCGCTGTGCCCCATTTCACCCGTCGTCCAACGGTCAAGCAGAACGAATGGTGCAGACAACAAAGGACTTCTTGAAGAAACCACCAGAGTGGCAGGACATCGACTTAAAGCTGCCACGGTTTCTTTTCAATCAGAATATTACGCCGCATACATTTACTGGTCGTTCACCTGCAGAGCTTATGTTTAAGAGACCACTAAAGACATTTTTCGATAAAATTCATCCGCACGAATTGCCTACTGGAAAGCACGAAATTGGCAGGGAGAAATTCTTCAACGATGGAGACCCAGTGTGGGTGCGAAACTACTCCACAGGACCTAAATGGGTACCAGCGAAAATTAATTCAAGGAATGGATCCATATCATATGCAGTTCAGCTGGACGACGATTCGCGTATCATAAAACGGCATCTAGATCAGATAAGAATTCGACATGTAGCTGAACGGGGTGATGACTTAGCTCTCCTTAGCCAAAACCCTAAAGAGCCAGAAACCTCATCGGAATCGGGGTCTGCAGCGATGGATGAGAGCAGTCCATCTTCTCTACTTCAAAAACAGTCCAATTCAGAGGGTTCGTCGCAGCATCGGTCATTCCTCTCCACCGCAGCAGATAGTTCGACGCCACTGGATGCAAGCATCTCATCAGACGGTTGCACTCCACGACGATCCAATCGTGCTGGACGTCCACCAGATTTTTACAGCGTTCCTGGGCGTTAAGGGGTGTAATGTCTGAGTGAATCTCTTGCACTCAAACTTACTAAATGCACTCATTAGCCCACTGCAGCTTATATGTACGTATGCACATACTATAAATATTACGGTTAGCCTAAGTATACATAACTTGAGTCTTGGCAATAATATAGGAGTCGCGTAGCAAACATCAACAAGCGAACATTGTACTCTAATTATATATATGTAATAAAGTTGTTGCTGAAGACTAAAGTGCCTTAAGCTCCTCCTTCTGGATTTCAAGCGAAAATACGGAGTAATTTGCTCCTGGAGTCTGATTATAAGTGCGGTATAATACTATATAATAAAACACTGCACGGATACATTTGAGTTGCCCAACAAGACATTTATTAGCAGCGCAATTATCTACTCTCTTTATCTCTCCATTCTCTTGTTGAGTGCGGTCAAACACAAACCGCTTGGAGTATGCGTAAGTAAAAACCCGATCAATAGCAAGAAAAGAAGTACTGGCTTTGCAAACACAATTACCTCGACTGAAGAATATCCGCAAGCAGTGTACTGTGCTTGCGAGTATTTGAGTATTTTCATAGAGCTGTTGATTGTTGGTGTTTGGGTTATGCTATTTATGTGCTTATGCACACATGTAGATACATTTGTATTTACATCAAAGATATTGTTGATGCTTGCCCTTACTACTACGTTATTTGATTAAAAATATACAATATATATGCACATACATATGTACATACATATGTATGTATTTATTTCAGCGAACGCCTTTGCTGCAATAAGGTAATGAATAAAGTTTTGAAAACTAGTCAATGTTAAAGAAATGTGTATAGTTTATTTGTTAAACGAAAATGGGTATAATATTCCAGATTAAATATTTAAGGAAAGAAAATATAAAATTAACAAAAGAATGATTTTCAAAAAAAATAATTATGTATGTATACGCCAACCATTTATTGAAAAGTTTTGCAATGCAAGATTTAAACGTTTTGCAATATTAAATATTCTACAAACTTTCATAAAAATTTCTATCTTTTTCATTAGATTTGGTTGGATATGCAGCTTACTAGCCCATTCAGTTTTAATAGAATAAATTGCAAGTTTGAAGTAGCACGAACATACAGTTGATATTTTGGAATTTATTGACGGTGTCAGTCATTTCTTCCATACGAAGTATGTTAACACGATTCTTTTTATATGGAGAAAATGACCAACAGCTTCAACAAAAAAAAAATTACCAATATCAACGGTAAGTCTTGCTTTGCAAACTTGCACTTCATTGTACTAAAATTGAATGGGCTACAAAACTGCATACTTAAAACCATTCTAAGTAAACCAATAAAAGAGCTCGATATTTTTACGAAAAATTGTTAATTTTTTCTTAATATAGCTCAAAGTCTCAAGTTTGGATTTATATGATTTTTCTTAAAGAATAAACTATATTTTTATAAAAAGTAATTGAAATAAAATAATTTAAAAAAATGTATAGGCAAAACTTGTCAATATGTGAGTTGTTTATAATCGTGAAACATACATATACAGAATGTAAATTCAAATTTTTTTAATATACATACTTTTAACCAATGCTTGAATGTAGGAACATTATCCTGTTTATTGCGCTGTCATTACAACTAATACTGCAACGTTTCTCAGTGATAATATTTCGGGCGACGGAAAATGCTCTTTCAAAAGGAGCTGAGGATGCCGGAGTTGCTAAAATTCGACAGCTCAGGTTATAAAAAATTGGGAAATCATTTTTATGACCGTCCCACCAGTGCACAATATCGAAATCGTCATAAAATTCAACATCAGTGCTTTCGTACTTATGAATTTCTCTATAGATTTTATTTTCAATACTAAGCGTTTGTCTTGGTTGAACAAAATCTCTGAACAATAAACTATTTTCGGTAGAACATGACGGCGTGGAATCTGACTCAGTATGTAATGCATCTACAGTGAATTCTGCCATGAGCCGCTTACATTAATTTTTAGTACAAGTTTTGTCGATTTCGGAAAATAGTACATTTTCGCTGTTACTATTCATTGAGTATCTTATAACGCACTTGTGCTTCAATAAGTTTGAGGTTGATTTTTTGCAGTGCTTTAATACATGAAACACGTTTTACTTTACTTTTCCCAGTACCCTTAGAAATTTTAAACTCGCCGCTAATAATTTTTTCTCTTATGACACTATTACTCAAACTACTACTAAAACTAACGTTTGTAGCAGGTGGATCGTTGGTAAATGACTGCAAACATTAATGCATTAAAATGATAGAAGCGAAATATGTATTTAATATTAATATCTACGTTGTCAAGCTCCATTATGCAAATTTATTAATTGTGCGCATGCGTTGCCAGTCAAGTCGCAAACGACCAAATACGACGAGGAATTTCGAATACACAAGCACCACAAGCACTTTCGATTACTGCAAGCAAGCGTGTAATATTTTCTGTACTCGCAAGTAGTGTATTTTCTGGCAAGTAGTGTACACAATTTGGCTCAACAGAAGAAGTATCACTAGCATTTGCAC